ACTGCCATTTAGTTCTTTAGACAGATTTAAAAACAAAGCAGCGTTTGATGTTCTTAAGTTGTTACAGGGGCAAAATTATACAGTATAAGACCCCGTGTCCACCTAGCGTTTTTTTCCAGGCAGAAAAGCACTGGCTGTCTGCTTGGGAGTTACTGCATGACGTGCTTGTGCACAGAAAAGCGCTGTCCGTCCTGTCTCTATGACAACAGGTTGTTGATAACAGCCGCTGTATGACCGACACTGCTCCGTTACTTTTTACTGCATGTTTTATATTGGAGATATTTTTTTACCTGATCAGACACGGAACAAAGAGGATGTGGGTACAAGATACGATCTGTAGGCTAAAATACAGGTAATATCAAACATTTTGAAAAGAGCACCCGTGACGTCAAACAGCGCCTTTCTGAAAAGTTGAAAGATTTTCAATCTGAGCGCTCGGAGAGGCTGCACAAAAATGGCGGAGCGTTTGTAAAAAAGACACTGGGCGCTGCGCTTTTCATCGAGGCGGCTGTTTTCTGTTGCGAACGCTCTCTACTCATTGAAAACAACTGAAAAAAGACGCTGCCGCTCAGAAAAAAACACTAGGTGGACACGAGGCCTTAGTCAAACAAAAAATATATAGCATTGATACTGGTTCAGTCAGGACCACTTTGTCAAAGGAATACTTTGACGCAATTATTTATTTTGGCGGTAAGGCTCTGTGAGGGATCTCCCTGCCCGCTTACGTGGAAAGCATGAGGCAGGAACAGCACACATTCCTGCCTTTCCCGTGCATACAAGGAGAGCTATAGGCAGGGAGATAAGCAGCAACATTTGTAGTCATATCGCCCGGCACTAACCACAGGACCAAAAAAAGAACTCCTGAGCCCCCAAAATTGGGAGCTTGGGCTGATTTTAAAAATAGTACATCCCAACCATTACTCATGATCCAGAAGACATGTACTGATGTCTGTATCTGCATAGACCCCACCCTCGGTCTGTACTTCCAGATTTTCTCGTTTTTTTGCTGTTTGGGACATTTTTTGTGCGTCAATCATAAGTTAATAAATAAGATAGATTTTACCGTCCACAAAGGGAGATTTGTCTTGGACTGTGTCCTGTAGTTTCAAGAGAATTAAAAAGTACAGAGATCATACAAAACATGTAACAATTCCACATATAAATAAGAATTCCTTCCTACAGCAGTGACATATTGACATGTTGCACGGCCTCTTGGCACATCCTACATTAAGGCCAGTTGATGCAATATGATTATTAATTGGATTTTTTTTTTTAAGCTTCAGTACTTTAGGGTTCTACTGAAAGTTAAAATAACAGTCAAAAAGTATTTAAAAACATTTCAATTGATATTTTGGACAAAGGTTTAACTCATTATAGTTTTATAAAAAATGGGACAATTGATCAGGTGATACTGGAAAGTAATCCTTTAAATACAACGCCTAAAAAGAGACAGAAAAGTCAGCACACTAAAGGTCCTTCAAGTTTCCTTTATCTGGGTAAGAGCAGCGTTGTTTTGTACGCTGCGCTGCGCAAACCAGTTGGAGTAAGGCTGGGCGATATGGCCTGAAAATAAAATCTAAGATTTGTTCACATCAAAGTCAATTTATGATTGTAATTGATTTTTTCCCAATTCAAGAATAAACACTCTGGGGCGCTGGCGGAGCGTCGGTTAGTGCGCACGCACTCTTTTTCTCATTTCTCTTTATAAGTCAAAGTGCAAGCTGTAGACTTCAGGGTCCAGCAAAACTACAGATGAGAAAGAGAAACTTCAGCTAAATGCTTGTGGCTGGGTGGCACATACCTGGGGCCAAGCAGCCTCTCTGTAAGGAGCAAACGAGGAGGGAGGATGTGAACTACAGGAGCCCAAGGGGAGCACCACAGTAAGTTAAAGAAAGAAAGGTTTGAAACCAAGGGAAATAAACTGAGACGTTTGCTCACCTCAATGAAGGTGTCAATGTTATCCATTAAAGCCTGAGCTCGACCAATGATGAACTGGTTCACACATGCTATAGCATGGGACCTGAGAAGGAGACAAGCAGGTGAAATCAACAGTAATGACATAAACATGTAGAATAAAAGACTGAGATAGAGAGAAAATGACAGTAGGACTAAACTGAGTGTTTCACTGACCTGATCTTGGGGCTGCAGTGCTTAAAAAACTGGAGGAACTTGGGGATCATGATGTTGAGAGGTCTGTTAAGGGCATCACTGTCCAACAACTCTGACGAATCCTCACAGATCTTCTGCAAAGCTCCAAAAGAACCCTAAAAAGCAAAAGAAAAAAAATGTAATAGTGTATAACAGTGATTGTCACATAAAAACTGCAACGTTATTTGTGGGTACAGGCGGCCGAGTGTTACCTCGCAGGTGTTGTAGTCCTCTGAGTTGAGCAGATTGCAGAGCTGAGGCAGCAGTTCTGGCCACGTCTGCAGTTCTCCTTTAGAGGCTATAGTCGTGATCAGGATACCTTGATGATGCATAATAATAAAAAAAAAGGTCAAATTTCAATACAAACGAACAAGTTGCCATCGCTCTCAGTCATTTCAAACATCTTGAAAATACAGCTCTCTCTCCCACACAGAAACATTACCTGCAGAAATTTAACCACCTACATAGTATTCTGACTCACAGCAGGAACTGCAGCCAACACTAACTTTCTCTTTCTCACTCAAAACACCCACCGATCGTAGCTCTGATAAGCGGTGATGGGTCTCCGATGTTGTTGAGGCATTCTCTTTTGATGAAGTCAGCCACATTGGGAGGGAAGTTCTGGTAGTGAGCCTTAACATTGTTCTTCAGGATCAGACCGCTCAGAGAGCGAGTGGGCTCGTCTTGAGACGGAGGGGGCAGAGAGACAGAGTATGAATGCATTTTAAAAACAGGAAAGACAAGGCTAGATATAGAAAGACATGCAGGAGACACAAAGAATTATAAAGGTTATTCAGTGACTGACGATCCAGTAAGTTTGATTGTAAATGTAACTATTTTTGGCATATACATACCCTCTGATTTGAGGCTTGTGAGGACAAAGATGAGATAGTTGTTAAAATCTGGGAACTGATTAAGCTGCTCCAGTTTCTGTAGGTCCGTTAAGGAGTTCAAACATATACACCAAAGAGGCAACAAACACAGAAACCCTTGAATTACTGGTGTTCTTGTTAGAAATCTGATTTAGAATCGCAATCCATCACACAGTTTAATGTGATGCGAGCTGCACGTACAACACCCTTGGCAGTTTTCACTGACACCCACTATGACACTCAAGCTCTCAAGGTAGAAGTAAATCTCACACCTTTTCCTCTCACCCTCATCATACACACACACACAAGCACACACACAAGCGCGCACACACAAGCACACAAGCACACAAGGATACTTCTTGCACGGCTCTCTGGGTTGCTGTGTCTGGAGACTGGGAGTCTTTGAGCAGCTGAAGCACTTGCTGCAGACCCTGTTCATCCGGCTGCCACTCCATCCTACACGGCACATTACACAAGTTTATAAAACACGTACTGCACAAACTCTGACCACAGCAAAGTGACGTGAGCTAACATTACGCAGTTACCATTTCAGAGAGACGACGACGATGGGCTATACACCGTTGCTACTGGCAACTATTTCCCAAACGTCAGCGTTAATTGTTAACCACTCAATTAGCTGCTTTAATCCTAAAAGCGTCATCATACTAACACTAGCTGTAAATGTTAGCTCACAATGTAGCAAAACACCCTGAACGGGTTAATGATTTTGATTATTTATGTATCAGTCAAGTCTTAGAAGTACCTTTATGTTGTCATAAGTAGGCTATTAACAAGTAGTCATAGCAACAATTAATTACGTTTTGACCAGTCATTTCCTCAATTAAGGCCCAGATCCCACAGGCGCAAGTGTCTGGCTCTTTTGGATAGCAAGCTAGCTTAGCATCTTTACGACACTAAACACGTACAAGACATTACATACACACATTGTAAGCACTAATGCGCCACGTTGCACAGTCTCAGTTGTGTTTGTAATCAAAGCAATAGACAGGCGGTGCACACCAGGCTTCATTAACACAGAGCACATCAAATCCTGGAAGCAGCAACTAGTAGCATGGCTAGCTAGCATCATATAGAAAGTACCGCGAAACGTTTTACCTGGTAACTCCGGTGTGGTAGATCTATATTTCTGTAGAAAACAGTGCAGTCAGGCTGTAACAACTAACATTAAATAAATTAGAACGGCAATGTGTTGCTAATTACAGACTTCTGATCACAGTGGATCTGTTGTGGTTGCTGTGCTACCTGGTATGTGACACAGATTGCATGCCTTGCGATCAAGCCGGCTGATCTCTTTTTTTGTCACGATCGGCTTCCGTAGTGGACAGACCGTCAGGCAAGATAACAAGGAGCTCAGCTGCTGTCTGTGTGACAGCCTGTGTACTGTTCATATGTTTAATATTTACAGTCTATTGTACTGATTCGGTTTCTGCAGTAGTTCCAAAATATCGCAACTTTAACCACCTCTTTTCTATTACAGAAATGTTAGAAGTGTTATGTTAAACTTTTGACCACCAGATGGTGTTAGCTGCAAAGTCTGAAAGCATTTTTCAATAGTTGTTCATTGTGAAATGCTGCAGGGCGTGGACATACTTTTATAACATAGGGTGTATGTGTATGTTTTTAGTTATTTTTTGATAACCGTGTGCCTCAACGTGACTGTGATATATTTTTATGAACATCATTTAACTTTACAGCCCTCCCAGAGGCAGCATGTTGTTTGTTATATTACCTGATTCCAGTGCAGTGTTACTCTGTGAGCTGCCCCCCTGCAGACCACCAAAGCAACAACAACTCAGTGACCATCAGGCCACTCTTCATAGTCACCATCACTTCCTGTCATTTCGAAATCCTGGTCAAAACTGTTTCTATGAAACAAGGCTTCGCAAATATGGAAGTGCTCCGACAGACTGCAACATAGTTTGAGTAACTGATTTTTTAAGAGGAACAGAAACTCTCATAAACAATTACACAAAGCTTTATTTCACATATATAACAATCTTTGATAATAGCAATAACATTTTGAATACATGTACTTTCCTGCGAACCTGTTTGTAGTCAACACATGGATGACTTTTGGATTGGATATGGATATCTGAAAAACCCTAAACATGAAGAAATTATTAAATTACATTGGAGAGGAGTAGAGCTCTCCAATAGTTACATATCAAGACAAATTACATATCAAACATTTAAGAATCAATCTTCAGCACAGAGAGCTGATTTCACTCTTGCTACAGCCCCACTTGCAGCAGGCATTGGAAAGTCCAACAACTACATCCCGTCCTTTCCTGTCCGCACTCCGAAGAGCCTCAAGCACTTCCTCTGAGATCGGTGAGCGAGCTGAGCGGAAGAATCCAGCAGCCTCATTTGATGTATGATCTTTCCATGTTTGGGACTCGGCAGGATCCTGCTCACTGGCAAGTTGAGGAATGGGATTCATGTGCCATGAGTCAAAGGCCTCTTCCCCAATAAGAGCTGATAGAAAGAAAGAGTAGGTCACTGAATATTAGAGCTTAACTCAGGAAAACTTGGCTCATGATAAAAAAAATTGACATGTCTACAGTCTCACAAACACTCTCTTACCTGAGTCTCCCAAACTTCTTCTCCAGCGAGAACCACCACAGGTAAAGATGACTGCTCGTATGAACTCTCTTCCACACAGTTTGACCCCATAGAAAGAGGGATTGCCATCATCGGACTGCACCCTGTCTACCAATGCCACCAATAAGACCAGGGTCAAGATTGCTGCCTTCCACATGGTGAGGGTGAAGGATGCTACAGGTTTCTTGAGAGATGGGGTATAGCTTGATGTGCCTGTGTGCTATGTGTTTCTTTCTTGACTGCATGTCTGTACCCTTATATAGGCCTCAGCATCTCAGAAAAGGACATGAGCTTACCTACAGTCTTCATCATTCCTTGAGATAAGACAGAGACCTTTAGGGGCAACAATGGACATAGAGAACAAGAGAAGTTATGATTAAGTAGCGGATGATGCATGAGGTGATGTCAACAGAGTTGCTGGTTATCTAATCACCTGTGGCCTTTTGGTGGCCTTTCTGTTCATCAGTTGTGTTGTGCTATGGGTCAAATGCACAATATCTTCCCATTGTCTGCCCTGTAGTGCATTGGGTGGCGATCTATATCTATTCACCCCAAAGATAACTAAGGTAACGCTTCATAAATAGGCCTACGTGTTAATTAAGAGTGACATAGACCTAAAGCCTAAAACACACATATTCAAAACTTAAATTAGCTGCGACCGCTTTTATGCTTTTTAATGTTAATGGTTTATAGCCTTAAGAAGGCAGAGATGAGGGAGCAACAGATCATTTGAAATGAATGTCTTGACATTTAATTATTTTCGTCTATCTGCTTGACATTTTGAGTAATCAAAAAGTAGCAACACAAGTGGCCATTCGACGCTAGGTTATGGCGAAATTGACAGACGGGGACCGTCGACCAATCAATTGTGTCTTTCTTTATTGACGCTGCGACCACCTCCCAAATCAGCCAATCAGCATTTAGTGAGGGGCGGGGCTGTGACGAGAGGATAGCAACAGTTGCCCCGGTGAAGGCAAGGCGCCATAGACACGGTAGTCCTGGCGACTAGAGCCAAGCAACGGGAGTCAACAATAACAACCTAAATGTAAGGAAAAAAAAACCTTAAACGACTAAAACAGACATAATTGGCATAAACTAAAGGTGAAAAAGTAAAATACGTAGAAGTATTGCTTCATTTGCGTTTTATTATATACGTGTCGCTGTTTGTACATTCGTCAGCGTTAACATAAGATAAGTCGATGTGACTGTGTTGAAAGTGGTTGCTAGCTTCTCTCCAAACGCAGACGGTTGTTATGGCGATGTCAGATCTTTGATAAGAGCACAAGATGGCGGGTGTGTTAGGTAGTGACAATCGTACTTTTTAAGTTCAATTATTGTGGCTTTTTTTCCGACGTTGTCGATCAAGATGGACTTGTTGTGATACTTAACAAGTGATGGTTATCGATCAAATGACTGTCCGAATCGAGTAACTAGCAACCAGCTAAGTTAGCTCGCTTTAACGTCACAACTCAACGTGAGCAGCTAGCTGGGGGGGGGAAGCGATCAGTCTCGCTTTCTCAACTCACTTCTCAAGCGAGCAGTCCAGAAACAGACGCAGAGAAACCTGCTCACACAAAGTCGTTCTTGAGTTCTGAATGTTGAGACTCGAGTGTGTTATGTTTCGTAGTCGTTTTGTGACTTTGAAAAAAGTTTTTGGTCTGACATTGACTCGGGCAGGTCACTCCCGTGAACACGGTGTGCCGGATGATCATCTGATTGCCTCGTTTGCTGTGTTGGTTTATGCAGGAGTGGCTTATCCTACAGTGGGATGGCCAAACATCCTGACTGACAGTGGGTCCATAATTAGTATGAATCTATTTTCAGAGCTTAACATCTTTTACTGCTCCTAGTGTTGCACATGTTCTTTTTTTTGCACATGTTCCTATTTTTGTTTTTTCACTTGTTAAGTATCTGTGCAGTTTGTTTTGGAGATATATTTCATTTATTTGTGTGTTTTTTTTTGTTTTTAGTTTACTCTGTATTTTGTACTGGGGTGAATAGGCAAATATCTAGACTTCTGCCTGGTGTCATACAAAAGCTTCCTCCTTGGTTTATGTCATACCTACACACAATCACACAAACAACATGTGAGCTTCATGGGTGAACGCACAAATACTTGGTCTGTCTGGCCAAGTATTGAACGGTGAAATTACTACCATTATGTGTTGTTGAGTATGTTTGTTGCACTTTGCTAAATGAGTCCCTCCTCTTTTTACCCACAGAACTAGTGCCTCAAAGCCCTGGTTGCTATGGCAACTTCTGGATACTCAGAGGACCTTCAGCCTCAGCAGACCAACACAGTAACCATAGCAACACCTGCTTCCACCACACCCTCATCCGCAAAGACAGCACACTTCCTTTCCAACATCCCAGCAACCTCAGGAACCATTGCATCAGTAAACCAATCAGCTGCTGCCTCAAAAACAGGACAGGATGCACTTTGTTCTCAATCAACGCCCACCCAGGCCCACAGCCAGAAGGCTGTGGTTCTGACCACTCCTGCCCAACACTATGTTACCCCTGAAATCCAGGCAACTGCGGTCCAGAAAAGTAATGGTCAGGGCAGCTCGCCTCAGTACATCATAGTTACTGTTACAGGTGAGAGACGAATGAATGACTGAAACATATAGCTGCAAATGTCATACTTTGTAAACACACAAACAGAACACGTTCTTCTCACATGGGCAGCAGGACGGCATGATGTGGTATGCAGTCTGAGGAAGTTTCCCACAGTCTGTATCAAGGGTGTAAGAAAGCAGGCAGTGCTGGATTCTGCTTCCTAATCCGTGCAGAGCAGTGTATACATTTTTTTTGTTAAGCTTTTAAATGAGGGTTGATGCTTGTCTTAATTTGAAGGAAATTAATTTCCTTTCTCAAATTATTGGAGATAAAAACACAGTTATAAAATTATTGTTTTAGTCGTTTATCTTGGGGGAAAAAAATCTCAGTTCCACTACTGAAGCCTGTCGGTCTTGTTGGGGAGTTCATACATTATGAGGACTTGTGCTAGGCTGGTTGCTAGGCTACGTAGTCCTGAACGTGGGAGCTTGGATGGATAATGGATTAAACCTCTTAAAGTCTCTAATACTCCGCAACTTTTGCCTTTTTTAGAGAGTCTGATGTACAATCATGTTTTTTTGTTATATTACATCAACTTGGCTTTAAGCCTACGATTCAAGCTGGTGTCAGTATCTATTAGATCTAATCAATGTGTGCTCACAAGGCTTTAGACCTTTGCTGGATATTTGAACAAATGAATTAGAGTTAAATACTTATATTTAATTAAGGTCAACATGTAATCTGAATTCCAAAAAATTACAAACGCTTGGTTTTAAAACTACTGGAAATGTTATCTATTGGAAATAAGTTAGAATGAACCTTGTTGTCTGTCTCTATGTTTATTTTTGGGCACTCTATTCATAGATCTTTTTGCCAGCTAGTATCAGGTAACACTTTCAACTTTTACCCAGAGTGAGACACACACAGGCCAGGCTTGACCCAAAGTTTGATATGTGTATACTAAAACCACCCTCTTATCTGGATAATCATTTTAAAGAGCAAGTTTGTACACAGCACAATATCTCAGCTTTGCATGTGTAGTATTCACATGACTGACACCATACCACTTAATGTAAAACTTGTGAATTTAGTCTGTCTCAGGGCGCTTGTTGGCCTAGCGGTTAGGCTGCGTGCCAAAGGAACAGAGGCTATAGTCCTTGTAGCAGACAGCCGGGTACCAACTCCTACCCTCGCCATTTCTTGCCTGTCATTCTCCATTTTCTCTCTCTAGTTTCTGACTGTATCCACTGTCTTATCTACTAAATCTGAAAATTCAGTCTGTTTTGTTATCAGCTAAAAACTCTTCCCTGTCATGTTATTGATTTCTCTAAACAGAGTACAATAATTCTCAAATACAGAATCAACCTGCCTCTGTTCAATCAAACAAAACGGTTTGATGAAGTGTCAAATGAATAATCTTTGTTGCAGGAAAGAGCAAACCTAACAGTATCATGCCTGTATCAAGTCATTACAGGCGTCTGGTAAGTGAAGTTGACTATTTAATTAGGGCGACGAATAGGATATTTTTAATCATCAAATTCCAATAATGTTTTGATAAATCAAGTGACCCCAGAGTGCTTATTTATGACAACACTGCTTTTTAACTTAGTTAATATGTATTCAATATTTTGTGAATATGTAAGACACATCTACTGTGTAGACTGTCCAACAGGTAGATTTAACACATGTTTAGACATTGTAAGATTATGATATGGTACTGTTGGTAGCATTTACTATCTCTGTTTTATCAACATGATTTGGTTGGTTTTTATTTGGCCAGGCACAAATGTTTTTTGTTTTTTGTTTTGACTAGCTGTGATTTTCAGTTTGCCTAAACCTAAAGAAAATTTAGACCAGAATGTCTGGCACGGATTGACCTGGCCTTTAGTCTTGTTTAGATTTAGTCTTTCTCCTTCCACCTGTTATGAAGTGTTTGGTTGTGCAGAGTCATGATGCCTCAAGTGTAACCTGGTCTTGGTGTAATTATGGGCACCTTTACAGCTTTTAACTCAGGGTGGGATAAGAGCAACACAGTGAGAGCAGGACATCGCAAATCACTGAGAGTAAAATGTTTTCTCACCTGTAGGACACGAGGAAGTGAAAATGATCCTCTCCTCCACCCTCCATCCCCTGTTTTCTCTCTCCATCCATCATCCCTCACTTCCTTTCTCATTTGATCTGCATGTTTACAAGATGTAGTGATTTGCCTCTCCATCTGGGGAGATTAGCTGTCCAAGGCTGTCCTTCTACATGCAACATATAAGGATGAGAGGAGAGTGAGACAGACACACTCTTCCTCCTCTCAACTCTTTAGTTAAAACATTTTCTTCTTTGAAAACTTGTTTGTGGGATGTTCTGCACTGGCTGTTATTATGATTTGGAATCAGTTTGTCGTAAGTATTGACCTTATTATGGCTGGCTTCCTTGTTGTGTTGCTGTTGGGAAGCTTGTCCTCAACAAAATGTTGCTGTATTGTGTACATTGGAAATAAGGTATCTTGTCTTATCTTTGTTCTCTCCTCCACCATATCTTTTCTATCCCCAGACGACTCTGTTCACTCCAATGACAGTCTGTCGGACTCTAGTCCACCTGCTCCTGGTGTTCCTACTCAGGTAGTCCAACCAGTTCAGACCACCACACAGGTAATATACCACATATACACACACCACATAAAATGGAGCTTCTACATGAGTTTTTTGACCACGTAGAATCAAATCACAACGAATGATTGAGCACCCCAAGTTTCATCTGAACTGTTCGCTTTTTCATCAGCAGAGGTCAGTGTTGCAAGCAGCCAAGAGGATTCAGAGTGGCCACGTCAACAGCCTGCAGTCTGTGCACATTAACCAAGAGGTAAACACTCGAACAAATGAATTTATTATTATGATGTTCTTCAGTCAATGAAATTACCCTGCCTTTATTTGGGACAGGTGTCAATACAAAGCAGGCTTGTTATTAATTTCAAACAAAACTGGTGCACAGCAAAGATGGGAAAGACTAAAAATGTTTACAACAGCGAAAAAATATTGAACTGTGTACAAACTAAGGCTATCAATACAAATCACCACTTTGATTTTACTTTGTAAGACAACCCATCAGTGTGGGGAAGAGACACCTGCAAATATAATCACTACTGAGTGCTGTCCTGGCTTAAGAAGCAGTGTAAGTCAGAACGTCTGGTTGTTAGAGCATATGGTATAGCACTGCAATTTTATAGCATAAAACTAATCTGCTAATCACTGGGGTTATGCACAAGATTAAATGATGATACAGTTTTTTATTAGTATATTAATACCTGTAGATCTTCAAATAATTTAGACATGACTTTAACAGCATTTGACACCTAAAGGACCAGATGTCTCCTACAAGAGTTGGCCAACAACAAAGTGTCAAATGGAGAACATATATTTTACATGCACTTGTTTTTCCTTTAAGTCGCATGTTTTCGTATCGTTCAGGTGTACTCTGGTCAGGTGCAATATGTAGATGGAGGAGGAGACGCAACATTTACTACATCCACCATGTGAGTATAGAGTCACCTTCTCTGTGTGAATCTTACATATCTGAAGGACGAGCTCAGGCACACACATTGCAACATGCCGGTGTACTGTGCATTTATATTTTCTGTTTATATGTGTACACATCATTCTCTCTCCAGTCGAGCAAGCAACTACCCTTTCTCGGACTCGCCCATCTACTCTCAGACTCCTCCCCCCTCGTCCTCCACGTACTATGAGGCCACGCCCAGTTCAGAGTCAGACCTCAGCGGCTCTGTGACCTCGCAGTCGGTTTCTGTGGCAACAGCAGGAGCCAATAGTGGGGGAGCAGCTGTGGGCGGAGGAGGCTATGTCATTCAGGGAGGTTATATGTTAGGAGGGGGAGGAGCAGCAGGTGGAGGTGTTGGAGGACAGAGTTACTCCAGCCCAAACTCTCGGGCGCCCCCTGCTACTGTGAGCGCTCCTTTTCAAGTAGAAATTGTCTCATGTGTTTGTTAGAATCCAAAACATCAACGCTCAGAAACTTTTGTTCCTCTGTAGGTGCAATGGTTGTGTGATAACTACGAGGGGGCAGAGGGAGTGAGTTTACCTCGCTGCACTCTCTACTACCACTACCTGCTGCACTGCCAGGAGCAGAAACTAGAACCTGTTAATGCTGCATCCTTTGGCAAACTCATCAGGTCTGTCTTCATGGGGCTACGGACACGGAGATTAGGAACCAGGTATACACACTTCACACGTGCATAAAAAGGTTGTCAAAATGTACGAAGTGTCGATACTTTTCGATGCCACGTGGTTTAAAAACAAAACAATCACTTTTATTTCAATGAACAAGACCAAAAGTACCTGAAAAGTACCAGATCTTTAAAAAAAATTACAGATCTTCAGTGTTTTTGCTTTTGTTTTAAGATTCCACGAGAGAAAGAGCGAGCACTGTCTAAATTGAATAAGACAAAGACATTGGCAACATTTTTGTTCCAAAATCTTGTGGGTCTTTTTCTTTAGACAGTGTTCAGGACTTTGCCTGATTTATTTGGTATTCATAAACAGGAAATATCCAATTATCGGGTGCCTAGGTTTTGCATTGCTTAATGTATCAAAACAGCTACTGTATCAAAACAATTACCAATATTGATTGATTCTAACTAGAATTGTATCCCATTTAAAATAAAATAAAAAATAAATAAAAAATCTGGTAATGTGACAAGCGTAATACACACTCTTTGATTTAGCTAAAGTAGGGTGCCAGGGCCTTGTCTTAACTTTTCATGCTTGTGTTACAGAGGGAACTCTAAGTATCACTACTATGGCCTCAGGATCAAATCTGGCTCCGCTCTGCTCAGACTGATGGATGAACAACAGCACATGGCCATGAGGCAGCAGCCTTTCTCACAGAAAAGCAGGTACCTGAGACCATCTTCTTGTGTAACAGACACATTATAGTGCCACAAATACACAGAGCATCTGTGGTGAAGTCCATTCAAACAAGATGTCAAACAGTTGCTCCGCTTACTGTGTTTCTGCATCTGGCTTTAATTGCAACAATTGCAACTTATCTGTGTCCTTCCTTTGACTCTTTTCTCCCTGTGTAACTGACTGATGGGTGCTTTGTCCAATAGGATAAAGCCAGTTCAGAAGACACAGGGGATCACCAATGGGACATCAGGTGTAATGGGACAACAGCAGGGGGGAGCACTCTGTGATATATCAGCACAGGTGCAACAGTATCAACAGTTTCTGGGTGAGAAACCTCCACACTCGCAATCACAATCTACACAATCTCTCTCTATTTGATTCCATTATTATTCGTGTGTGACTGCAGCTCTTGCTAGAACTCAGTGTTTCATCTGCTTCTCTGTTGCTGTGTCTTGTTTAGAGGCTTCCAGGCTGCTACCAGACTTTGTGGACCTTGATCTGCATGATCGGACCCTGCCTGATGGAATCCTTTCAGAACACCTAAAGGCCTTTCAGACTCTCTACAGAGAACACTGTGAAGTAGGCACATAATAACAAAGACAAGGATCGTAGCTCATTCATGATTGTACTGTTAAAACACATGAAATAACAGCCAGCTATCTGATGTCACAGTTGAAGTACATTTTGGAAAAGCAGGGGGGGGGGGGTGCTCACTTTCCCAGACTTTGAAAACCCCCCTGGTTCAGACTAATCCTCTTTTGTGTTTTGTTTGATGAACACAGGCCATACTGGATGTGATGGTCAACCTTCAATTTACTCTTGTGGAAACACTGTGGAAATCCTTCTGGAGGTTCAGCCAGAGCAGTGACACAGAATCCCTCAACCTGTAAGTGTCACAAATCCCCAAGTCAACCCGATGAAAGATATACCGTCACACATATCTCCTCCACTCCTGTAACTAAGGAACAACTGTGTCATGTTCTCCTCCAGACACCATGAGTCTGAGAAGCGTCTGCCCAAATCTTGCCTGGTGGTTCTGTGTAAGTTTGAGCCTGTGCTGCAGTGGACCAGAGAGTGTGACAACCTGCTCTACCAGACTCTGGTGGAGATCCTCATCCCTGATGTGCTGAGACCTATCCCCAGTGAGTTAATAAGGCCTGATAAACTGAGACTAAACTGTTTGGTGAAGCATCCCTCCTTTATAAATGTAAATCTAATCCTTGTTCTTTAAATGACCACCATCCTGCCCCTAGGTGCCTTAACTCAGGCCATACGTAACTTTGCCAAAAGTCTGGAGAGTTGGCTGTCAGGTGGCATGATGAACATCCCAGAGGAGATGGTTCGCATTAAGGTATTTATATAATCATTTCCCTTTATTATTATTATTATTATTATTATTATTATTATTATTATTCCGAGCTGAGAGTTTTTGTTGTTGTACTTAATGGGATTGGGCTGTATCGTTGGTGGTCTTGTTATGTTAACATGCTTTCCTCCTGTGATTGGACAGCCAAAGGTTAGGGCTTCTCCTAACAAAAGTTTTCCTAGCCAACTATCATCTATGAGGAACAAGTCCATAAGAAACCATGGTGCATTCTTGTACTTCTCTGAAACTCAGGCACAGAAGAAACTCACTTCTCATAACAAAACAGGTTATGTCACATTAACATGTTCCCCTGAAGGCTGGTGACTCTCACAATAAGCCAACCTGACACTAAGACGACAAATACAATGAAACTCTTCTATGCAAGAGTTGATGCAGTGGCTTTCATTTACTAATGTTTGGTCGACTTGTGAGCTGTAAACTTGGCCTTGTTGCGCAGCTATCTTAACATCCATCTCATGAAGACTTCATTCATTTTCTCTCCTCCTCACTTCTTACAGGTGGTGTGTGTGAGCGCCTTCTCTCAGACGCTGCGTCGCTACACCAGCCTGAACCACCTGGCCCAGGCGGCACGCGCCGTCCTCCAGAACTCGGCCCAGATCAACCAGATGCTTTCAGACCTCAACCGAGTGGATTTCACTAACGTACAGGTTTGTTAAACTCTCCCTTCTTTTTACTCTTTCCCATCGACCGCATTGGTCCAAATGTAAAACGGCCTTACAACGGCCCCAACTGATTTTTATCAAATCTTGTTTTCATAAAAATAAAAATAAAAATTAGATTTTAAAATAATGATAACATTTTCAGTATCTTTAGATAAAATTGTCACATTTACATTACCTTAACACCTCTTGTGTCCCCCCTCAGGAGCAGGCCTCCTGGGTGTGTCAGTGTGAAGACAGTGTAGTACAGAGGATAGAGCTGGACTTTAAAACGACTCTGCAGCAGCAGAACTCTCTGGAGCAGTGGGCCACCTGGCTTGATGGGGTCGTCACTAAGGCCCTAAAACCCTACGAGCAAAACCCCGCCACTCTACCAAAGGCTGCCAAGATCTTCCTGCTCAACTGGTCCTTCTATAGGTGAGGAGAAAACACACAGGTATACGAAAATTTGATTTAATACTGAAGATAATTTAACCCACTCTGCTTTTTCCACAGTTCTATGGTAATCAGGGACTTGACTCTGCGTAGTGCTGCCAGTTTTGGCTCCTTTCACCTGATCCGCTTGCTATATGATGAGTATATGTACTACCTGATAGAACACAGGGTGGCCCAGGCTAAAGGAGTCACCCCCATCGCTGTCATGGGAGAAGTATGCACATGCACAAACAGCTTCTCACATAGTTCAGTCTGCACTTTATGATTTATGATTATAAATGTCCACTCCCCCCTCTCTCTCTCTCTCTCTCGCTCTCTGTTGTAGTTTGCAAGCACAATCAAGAGTCGAAACTCTGCAGACTTGGACAAAGGTAATTGCAGTGTGGTTTTCTTTAGTCATATGTCAAGTTTCTGCCTCCATTGAAAGGTCACTTGATGCCATGTAAATGCCTTTCTTCACCAGAAGAAGAAGAGGACGATGATGAAGAAGAGAGCGAGGATGAGACCGGAGACCTGGTGCTGCAGTCCAGCTCTCTGAGTGCAGTCGACGAGGAGAAGGAGCCGATGGAGCCACCAGCAAAGCAGCCCAGGACGAGTTTAAGTCTGCACACTCTGACTGAGGGCACACCCCTTTAAATACTCACTTTATAATCTTCATACACACACACACATGCATACACTTTACATAATCATGTGCTCTAAGTTTAACATCATGTCATCCCATCCTGTCGACCCGTGTCCACTTCTCGTTTGCCAACAGACAACGTTTTTCTGTGTGGTGGTGTGGTGTGTGTAATCATGTATGTGAAAGTGTGAACATTTGCCAACTTCTTTTCCTCTGCACTTGTGCTACCATTATTTTTTCCTTTCTGCCTTCACTCTTCTTGTGCCCTGTGCCTTCCCTGTCCATCCAGTGTCAGTAGCCACTCCTGTCCAGCCTCAGCTCTACTTTATACAGTATGGATATATTCTTGATTTCCCCTACCTAATCAATGACCTGAGGGCTGAGGAGAGAGGTTCTCCTCTATATCACTCATTTAGCCTTTTAAAGCAATGACTATGCAGGGAAGGTGGACTTTAGTGAATGGTACTTTCTAAACTATACTTTTTTTTACCGTCAGAGTAGCATCTGGAATGATACTGCATCATGTTGTTGGCATGTGGATGTTAATTGAAAGGAATTAGCCATATTTTTTATTTTTTTCACATATTATTCATTTGGCCATTTGACTGATTACCCTGTGCCTTTGAGAGATTACTAGTCTGGGAAAAAACTGTATTCTATATATTATGTATTGGTGGATTAATAAATGATGGTCCTGTGGAATAGTCTCGGTGTCGTCATGGCGTTTAAAAAAAAAAAAAAAAAAAAAACCTGAGATGGTGACTGTAAAGCCTAGTTGTGGTGATTCTTCCCAGTTTGTCGTTTCTCATTCATCCACCTTTTTTTTTCATCTTTTCATCATCCATTCCTTCAAGCCCAAATCTCTCTTGACAAACATCTCACACACACCTGAGATGCAGTGTGATCGAAATGGCCAAAAGACGAGGCCAAAGCTTTTCCCACCCTATCCCACTGTATCCACGGCAACCAGTTGTTGCAACAGCTAGGAGCACACGCTGCAGGGCTCTCAAAAGTTTTTGTAGTGCAAAAGTAAATGTTTATTTTCTTGATATCAATGTTAAATATTTTGTGGATAAATATATATTATGTACCTTTTGTCAAAACAGTCGTACAGCCACACTATTTGTATGTTGTTGAACCATTATTGCCTTAAGAAAACCTGTGTCCAACATCCAGATTATTGAGCTATATTTTTATTGTGATGACAATGGACCAAGCATGGGAACATGGCGACTTTAAATATATTAGCAAATGTTAATGTAACAAAGAGTGTGACCTTATGACAGAAAAGGAAAAAAAGATCATTATAGTTTTAAGTGGGATGACCTGCAGGATGCTCCGACAACCCAGATCCCACCAAAGATGCTAAAAAGTAAACAAAGTAATTAGCATTTATTTATATGTTGAGGAAGGCAGGCTAAGACATGAAATATAAAACCAAGTGGGTAAAATATGTGGCATTGATTTTGTCCTTAGCAGGAGCTTCTGAACCTTTTATAGATGAGCTCCTTGTTTGTCTTATTACACCTTTGTACTCTATTATGTGATTAACGTTTGTAGCTTTATTGTCTCTGCTGACTAAAAGGACGTGATTGCTTTCAAAACTTGTGCCAGAATTGTTTTCTTCATGGGATTTTTTTCCACTATCGTTTCTTTCTAAACGCACTCCTCTCTCAAACCTCTTACCATCAGTTTGTCCTACTGATTTTCTTTTGAAGGGAGGTGTAACAGCTAAAGGGGAGTGACCTTGTTGGGTTCTCTTGAAAATATTATTGTCCCAATAGTATATTATTATTCACAGTACTGTACAGCTTTTACAGTCATGAACATATAGGAGAGGACGTTACTCGAGTCAGACAGTTTAGTGTGTTGTCGCACTCTTTTTGTGTATATTCCTTTATATATTATTTCGTGCCTGTGGGGAGTATATAGATGGTAATAAATGAGATTGAAATGAATAAAGATACATCCTAATGAACACGTTAGCAAACCAGACCATCAACAACAACAACCGTCATTTCTATACTTTCATTTTATACAACCTGTTATCCCTGCCAAGTGGAGGTGTCAGACGAGGGAGCACCCTGAAGAAACAGTATTTTACGATTTTGTGAGTGATGGTGAGTTGAAAAGTGAAGCCGAATGAGACATTTTGTCAGAAAAAAACAATATACATACATGTAAAGGACAAGATCACAGATATGACGTCCAGCTTTGTCCACAGGAGGGGACACACATTCACAACCTGAAAGTTCCTCAGGAGCTTCATATTTTGATTTTTTTTCCACCTTAAGTGTTTTTTAATAACGACTTTTACCTGCTCATAATGCTGGTGTCTGGACGAGGATTGATGTCAATAGTGTTAAAACTAACGTGGTACTCAATGACACTGACAGACATTTAAGCAGGGGGCTGTTCACCACACTTTCAGGATGGTAAACGCTTTTCAAGTCTTCTAGACTCATCAAAGTTGCTTTTAAGACTACATGTCACATTAACACACACTAATATGAGGCTGCTACGTTAAGTGCTCATCTATTAACCAATCATATGCAATCACACACTGTTGGCTTTACCACTGATGAACAAGAAAAACAATTAGGACAGCACTCCAAAAATTGTATTTTAATTGCCACACGGACGTTTCGGGCAGACGCTCTGATAATTAAAACACAATTTTGGAGTGCTGTCCTAATTGAACATTTCTCAGGATTCAGCACCCTGTTTCTTTCTTTACGTTGAAAGGGAGTTGAGTTTGTTTTCTCTATCGTTATCCTACTGGGGAGCAATTCCAGGTTCAATAGCTTACCCGAAGACACCTTGACATGAGCTGGAGATTGAACTCCCAATCCTCTGGTGGAGAGACGACCGACACCACAGAGCCACAGCTGCCCACTGTTTATACTGTCCAGATCCTTTATGTGTTTGTTCTTTATTCAACAGACTTAAAAAAAAAAACCACTTAGGACCTTTTATTTTTACAAAATATTCCAATAGAACAAAGTCTTACTTACATGCCAGTTAACATGGTGTGTGATATTAACCAGCTGAACAGGTGACTCCAACAAACCCACCACTTCTATGACATACTTAAAAAAAACAAAAAAAACATTTTAGACATGTTGACTTTAAATACTGCAGCATTTTTGCATGAACGCCGCTACACTGAAATGGTTCAGAAGCAGCTGAATCTGTCAAATATAACCAACACATCCAACATGCACACACTCCAACACACACACTTTTATTCTCTGGATGAAATCCCCGTAAGAAAATCACACAGGTGCAGATATTGCATGCGCTCAGTTACAAACACAAGCACAAGAAACGCTCACACTACATTAACAGTACAACGTAATGTATAAAAATGTAAAAACTAAATCTTGGTTAAGTCCAGCTCTTTGTTTTGGTGGTTATGACAACAAAAAAATATGAAAGGTGTCAAATTAAACACAGAACACCTAAAAAATTCTTTACAGTATTTAACCTAGAGAGTTCTTTGCTCTGTTTGAATTTGACCCAGGTTTTGAACAATTAGATCCATTGAACATGTGCAGCAGTGCTCAGATTAAAGTTGAGCTCAACACTGGCGATGAGGTCTCGTTGACGTGCATCGGAGTGTTTACGCGTCCCCCTCTTTCCTTTCATAACACGATCCAGGTACATCGGTCGCTATCAGCCAACACTTGCAGTGACGAGCCTGCAGGTGAGAAGAAGAGTGAGATTTGAATCCATGCTTGACTAAACGAACACACACTGAAAACCAAACAACACACTTGGGAGCTCTGTTTAAATATGGAGAAAAACAAGGCCTGCTCATAGCGAGCTTTGTTTTTAATGCAAGCAGGAGTAAGGTCTTTCACCTGCTCTTATGCAAAGTGTCTGGAGAAAACATTTGTTGTGAACTGGCGTTATAAAAATAAAGTTTGATTGATTGATTAGGCAGGCTGAGAGAGGTGGATTACACATTATTGCTTTTACTTCTTGATTGTTCACGCCAGTAAAATAAATTACTTCTCAAATGTATGAAACTTAGGCAGCAACAATACTTTAATGTACTATGATTTATTAATACAGTTATAATTACCAGACATTAAGTGATATGTCACTATGAATACTTACCGTGAATTAACACTCAAACAATATTTGTAGAACATTTACTGCTCCTAATCGGACAAAATATTTTCTCTGACAAGGTGGAAATGCATGACTTCACAATCTAATGGCCTAAAGTCGTTCACAACCTCTTAAAGGTATAGTATGTAGAATTGACAATGTTTACATTCAAATATCTAAATTAATTATAAATTGACTAAGCCGATGTAATATATAATTTTTCATTGAGTACTTACGTCACCTCAAATATTTCCAACAGTTATCAAAGCCAGAAAAATCCATAATTTAATAGTTGTTACAGGACGTGTCTTTGCAGCAGCCGCCAGGATGAGCCGCCATGACAGATGCAAAATATTTATCGTTGCCGTGGAAACACTGGATGTTATGTCAAAGACTGCGGAGCTGCTTCTGAAAATACCGTACTGTTGCTGTATGTGCTGCTTTGATTAAAAACGTCATGTAAGTGATACTTGGATACATCGTCGGTAAACATATTCTCAACCTCAGGTCGGTTTTGACTGTTCGTATTGACTACGGTCAACACAGAGTTTGTTTTCACTGGAGGGGGAGGGGGAGGGAGTAGCAGAGCGAACTCCCATGATTCCCCGCTAGCCTGGATGTCATCTTATGTTACTGTTTGGATTGAGATTTGGAGACAGTAAAGGAAGTATACCAAATGTTCTTGTACACAAATTTAGCTAGCTCAGCTTTTAGAGATTCAAAACTAGAAGTAGATGACAAAAGCTGTTGTATTTATTAATTTTTATTTGACCTCTGACTTGACCTTTGCTCTGAATGAGTGAGGAGTAAACAGTTCCCAGTGGTGTTTATACACAAGAACAAAACTCCTGAAATTAGCTGGGAGAGCTGAATGATTGAATGCAAATGGACAATTTTTCAACAGAATGTTCTCTGCTAGCCTCCTAGTAAAATGTCAGCATGACATCGGGGTGAGCCCAGTTGTGATCAGGTCAGGAAATACATCATTACAAGCTGAGTGACGCCGTTTGTATCAACCGAGTGGTACAATCGTCTTCATATCGCTACTTCATATTCTTTTCTACTTAACAGTTTGTTCGGATTTGTTGATACTGTGGATAAATAAAATTACACACATCACTGATATAAAAGCAAAAAGTGTAATCATAGTGTCAGACACTATTACTTTATCTGCTTCCTATGTCATGTCATGCCTCCTGAGACCCCCCCTCCTCCTCATGAGAGGGAAAGTCTCCCACTGTGAGCTGCACATGTGAACAGGCAACTCGTTAGATTTAAGAGGCAGCCTGTCTTGAAATTTTCAGGTTTGCATGGGTGAAAAAGAAAGAAATAACGCACCTTTGTGTAAAGCTTCGTTGGTCATGCGATTAATGTAGCGGGAGCTGCACTCTGGAACCAACCACTTCATCACTGTGTTCACACAGGACTTCCTGTAAGAACTCCACACACTCCCACTGACGAGAGATATACAGATTTACTACCTTTTCACAACAGAACTTATCATTAAAACAAAAAGGAAACAAACAGATAGGAGGATGTGTATTTGTGAAGGCAGGCGGCAGTAGTTCTTCACCTTGTCTGACCCTTGACCTCTGTCAGGTCACCAACACCCACAGTCTGACAGACACCTGTGTTAAGGTCCCAGCTGACCTGCAGGTTGGAATGGTATGTGTTTGGCCTGGAAAGAAAAGCAACAAAGATCAGACTTAGTTGGGTAAGAAAAAAATGGTGAAATAAGTCCTGAAGATTGCTTTGGGTCATATGAGGACAAATACCTGCAGTGCTCCTCATCTGAGTTGGAGAAGGCCAGTAACAGCAGACCGATGTTGATCATCACTGTGTTGGTTTCAGGACACACCTGATGCACATCAAACACAATTTCCTTATGTAGAAAGCTAAATGCTCATCCTTACATGTGTCCCTAACTGTTAGGAAACACAGAAGGCAAAAATATACTAAAGTAAACTCGAGGACTACATGAGTAATGACCCTCTATTTCTTAGAGACTAAAAGTCAACATGAACAGGGCATGCACGGTACAATGAGTATGTGTGCATGCAGATACTCACCTCCAATATCACAACATCATAGTCGCTAAAGGAGCAGAACTGAGGAGCCCAGGCTGCATCGCTCCTGATCACCTCATTTATAAGATACTCAAAGTCCAGGGTCAACTGCTCCACACACACAGTCTGTGCAAGAGTAAAAACACAAGGGTTAAAACTTACACACTTTTTAAAAGTTCCAGAAGTAGATACACAGACATTTGTGAATATTTTGTTGTGAATAAATGTCACAGTAGTGACAGTTAGGGTACATGCTGCTGAAAAAGTTGTTTTTTATGAGATGACAGAATATATCTTTGGCAGTTTAACATCAAAAGCTCAAAAAGTCATCATCATCAATATTTCACTGTGAAAGCAACAGAGACTTTCGTGAAGTTGTTCGCTTTGTATAAACAGAAACAGAATAGTAAACACAGTTTAAAACAGAACTACCTCTGATAAATAATCATTAAAAAGTCAGGCACTTAACTTTTGAAAGAGGAAAGAATGATCACTTAACATATGTGGGATGTTTGGCAATATTCCTTTTTGTCCAAATTAGAAGTAAAACTATTGAAAACCACTTTATTAGTTGAGATGGAGCTAGTATCCTGATGAAGTGATGAAGTACCCTGAGATATAACTCAACGTTTGTATCTAATATTCCAAATAAAAGGCAGAAGATATTTTCATATTCTATAAAATCTTTTTCGACTTACAGTCACACATTTACAGACTCAAAAACACACACCTGTCCGTTGTGTGGCTCAGTCACCAGCTGCAGGTTTCTTCCTTTAAGGTCAGTGACCGTGAATGGTAGCTGAACTTTATCATCTTCATAATCTGAAGAGACAGACACAGAGGAAAACACAGATCAACAGCTTGAGACTTATCCTGTTAAAAGTGTTTTATCCAATCGATCATTCCCTGTGACGTAATCATCCTCTTACCTCCTGAATTCTGCTCTGCTGCTCCTGGCTGTTGGAGGCGGTAGTGAAGGCGGGAATAGTTGACATACCCGGGTTCGCTTGGGGCAGCCTCCTGGGATGAAGAGGGTGTCTGGGGCGATGACGGGGACGGTGACAGGGAAGAGGAGGCAGGAGACATCACTTCTTCAGAGCATGGTGGCAAACTGTGGCTCCCATCTGATGTTGATGCTTCTGGTAAACAAGTCCTTCTTTCTGTCTCCTTCCTCTCTCTACAGTCATGCTCCTCTCTCCTCTCATCTAAATGTGTCCTTTCATCTCCTGGCCTCTGTGCTGCTTCATTTTCACAACCATCAACAGTTTTCCTTTCCGCCTGGCCTTCATTTTCTGTCCCTCCTCCTGCTCCCTGGGCCCGTCTGAAGAGGTCAGCAGCAAACTCCCGGGCTCGCAGAGCTGCCTGTGACTGGCTAGGAGATGAGGGAACGTGAACGGGTCTGCTTGGCGAAACCTGGCTTTCTGTAGATCCCTGAGGTAGTGAAGGAGAAGAGGAGGCCAAGGAGGTGGAGGGAGAAGAGGCAGGTGCTTGAATCGACAGAGCTGCCTTTTTTGTGTAAAGGATATGCGATGACTGACCCTGTTTACCTGCAAGACACATTCAAAAGCCAAAATTAACTACGTGAAGAAATACAAACAGAGTGGATTAATCAGAATAAAAACAAGCGTCAGGATTATCATGGTCATTTTTAATCTTAGGCATAAGCAAAACACAGGTATTAGGAACTGTGCTGATACTGCCATTGGTGCATATGTTTTACCTGGGCTGAGTGAGATGCTGCATGCCACCAGAGAGTAGCTTGTGTTTAACAGAATGACCTGGTCCTTTTTCAGCTGGAAAGCGGGCTGGAAAGTTGGGAACGGGTACACCACCTGGTACCTGCTGTTGAGCACATAGCCATGCTCCAGACACTCACCACTTCCTGGAGTGAGAAAAGTATATTGTTGGTAAGAAGAAAAAAGGCAGAGGCAGTTACAAGAGTTAGGGAAAGCTTTTTGTTTAGTGTGTGTGTTTATGTTTACCTGTGCGTATGGTAGTGGCTGAGGGTACAGGGCAGCACTGGGAACAAGGTTTAGGAGGAGGCATGGAGGCAATAGTGATGTATATGTCTCTGTTGTTTTCATCACTCATCATTAGGTTCATCAGAACAGAGCTTGAACTGCGTGTACTGACAGGAAGAACCACATACGCACACAAATTAGTACTCATCGTTACCGACACACGACATGAACAATTTGAAATAAAAACAAGTCAGCTCCATATGACTTGCTTGTCAAAGCGTTTAATATCCTTACTTGAAGCCGAATATTACTATTTTTGAGTGGTCATTGGGCCACTCACACACAGTCAAGTACAGGTCACTGTAGATTTCCTCTCCAGCAAACAGACGTACATGATGGACCTAAAGAAAAAGTGCAGACGTGAGACAAAGGACAGGATATCCGTACATTAAGATTACTCAGTTATATTGATAACTTCTCTGTTCAATCATGAATCTACTGGATAAACAACTGGAAGTTCTAGAGAGTAAATGTCTTTACCTGTTTGAGCCGACTGTGTAGGTTGAACTCCCACCAATAGAGATGGTATGTATAGAAAGAAAAATCATCATCTTCTCCACAGTCGCTGGTGTAGGACAGCACATAGCGGCCGCATTTAGTGAAACCAAGAAAGATGTGTCTGGAAGCAAAAAGTCACACACACAGAACTGCTTAGACATCGACACACCAAACATCCAACTTGGTTTGAAATGCCAATGAGCTTAAGAGGGTGTTGTATAGTCCACAAAACAATACATGATTCATGATAACAACTAACAAGTTAAGACAAGACAAAGTCACTGACCCTGCTCTCAGGAACTCTTCGCTGACTATGTTCTTTAAAGGGACACACACTCGAGGTGGCAGCTTCCTGAACAGGCGCTGAGAAATCCTTCCTGAAAGCTGCAAAACAGACAAGAGAATGGACCCAGATGTAGACAGAGAAAAACAAATACATGGTATAGCAGTGGGCATATAAATGTGTGCAGGAGGTATTGGACATGCACCATCATTTGAATAGCAATACTTGTGGTTAAGGATGATAACAAACTACGACAAATAAAGCTTCATTCAATGCCCTGCGGTATTGTTTTTGTTGCACTAATTGGCTGTGAAGTGCAGATATGGTGATATGACGCTAACGCCGACTAAGTTAACGATACACTAAATAATGTGGCTCTAATAGTTAGCATGCTACCATTGTTGGTTAAGAGGTCTCCGCCTTTTGGATAGTCAGAAGTAGAGAGACAATTAACGGGAAAACAGAAAGCCCTCAATGTTTTTTATGGTTTGAAACCTAGGCTAATAAGCTAAAAGCTACATGCCTGCCACTGGATGTTAGTTGTCGTCGAGTTAGTTAGCAGCTAGCCGCAGAAGCTACTTTAAATGTAGCTGTGATATCTCGTTATCTCTCCTTACATGTTTCATGTCAAACACTGCGTTGTATTAGCGCCTACCTTCGCACGCATTAAAAGCTTCACGACATGGTCTTTGTGTTTTCTTTGAGCTTTCTGTTTGCCCTCGTCCTTTTCGGATTTCGAGCTGGGCGCCATCTCCCACTGAACTGGAGTCCCTCGCTGCAGTCTGCTCGTCTGTGATTGGTCCGCAGAGTGCACGAGACTGCCTTCACTCGCCTGCGGACGCATCCATCAAAACCAAAACAAAGGTACGGCACAACCATTGTTACTGAGACACCATGTAGGAAACTACTAAAGTGCTCTGTTACTATATCACTCATGAGAAGTTTCATACTTTGGTTTTATGTAGTAATTTAAAGAAAATTAATAACTTAATCAGCTGTTCTAACATCCAAAGCCACATACACATGCTGAAAATACACAATGATGAAGGACGAAAACATGTAATTTCAATGTTTTTATTTAAGTATTTAAAAACAAGCTGTAAAAAATAACATAAAAAAAAAAAATCAGCATACATTAACAGAACCTAATTAGAAAAAAAAAAAATATAAACAGAGGGCCGCCAAACACACAAAACACACATGCTTACACAACCAACCTACACACTTAAAGACATTGTCTTCTCACAGCCAACTTTCACACATTTCTGTTCAGTAGCATACACTTTACACAGACACACGCAACCCCCTTATGAAAAATAATTACAAAGAATAAGATTTAAACTAAAAAAATCAAAAAAAAAAAAATCATGACAGCAGGGAGAAATACACCTGCAACTTAAACATGGGGAATGTTTTAAAAAAAAAAGTTTAAAAAGTGTACCAACAACTAAGAAAAAAAAAAAATCTGTCCTTGTTTTTTTTTTTTAAATGAAAGAAAATATTCAAAATACTGCTAGACTGTTTTCACCCTCAAAAATCAATGGGAGAAAAACTCTTGAAATGTGAGTCAGTGTGGAGATGCTGATGTGCTAGCTTGCAAGCAAAGATGCTCATTTCACATTTTTTTTTAAAATTCAGATGTATGAGAGAAGGTGAGTTTAACTGTGACATGAAGGGACAAACTAAAAAGTAACTGAAGAAGTTATTTAGTGCTTGTTCAATGCATGGGCAAAATGTGTTCCCTTTTTTCCTTTCAATTTTGACTTTCTAAAACAAACAAGGTTGGTAAAAAAATGTCCGTGCGGATGATTAAGCCATGGTCTTGTCTTTTTATAGTCAAAAAGGAAATCTCTTGAAAGAAAAAAGTCCACAGAGCCGTTGCAACCATCCATCCGACTGGAGCCAAACGATTACTGGAGCCAATAGATTACTGGGCCTGAAATGAAACAGACAAATTATAATTTAAACCGTCTATGTGTTAACTAATGGAAGACAACAAACACAAACACCACGTATTTCATTTTGCAAAACCAGATGTTGTCAAGAACGATTAAATAACATTGAAAATACATCTGAAATAACAGAAAATGTGAATTTAAATGACTCAATCATAGTAAGTCATAGACAATAAAAACTACAGAAACCAGGAAACTTAACTACAAAATAGATATTCATTATGTTGGCCAGTACATGTGTTCTCTGCAGATACTCGTTTTACTTGACCATGGTATCATCAAGGTTAATTCTAAAGAGTAGTAAAATATGTGTTACCTGTTGTCCCTGCTGTGGACCAGGAGCCTGTCCAGGTGCCTGCCCTCCCTGTCCATAGTAGGCAGCCTGCTGTCTGTAGTACTCAGCCCAGGCTGCACTATAGTCCTGCTGGCCTCCAGCCGCAGCTCCTCCAGCCGCCGCTGTGGCAGCTGCTGCTGCGCCTGGAGCAGGTGCTGCCCCTCCAGCTGGCTGGGCTGAAAACAGGAAATATTTTCAACAACACAGTCATGTACTCATTTCACATTATTGGATAATACTGGCATGACTAGATCAATAATACTAATTGCAAAAGTTTAAGTACTCAATGTACTATTACAGCGACGGTTCATTAACAGCTTTTGTTGCACTGGCAGCACGCAAAACCTCAACTTTAGAGTGCTTCTCATTAGCGCTTACTGTTGCTTGGTTACAAAAGTAACCAGCAATTTCCACATATTTATGTGCGTGCCACATTCTGTCAGCGTTATGTTGATAAAGTGATGGAATACAGGAAATGTAATTAATCTGAAGTTTAAGGCTCATGTTTAGCCTAAAACACACCATCTCTGTAGAGCACACTTACTTATGCCCATCTTCTTGTAGTACTCCTCCCAAGCTTTAGTGTAGTCCGGCTGCCCCCCAGCGGCCTGTGCAGCCTGGCTCTGGTCCCCTGGTGCTGCTGCAGCAGGGGCTCCTGGAGTCTGACCTGCCATGGCGCCCCCTGGCTGTTGACCGTAATACTGTGCATAGTAGGCTGCCCATGCTGCGTTCGGGTCTGCTGCTGCCTTACCTAATGGAGGGGAGGTGGCAGAATACATAGAGTGATGAAATAAATACATTCATAAAATCTCATATCATTTACAAACTTTAAAAGGTAAGCAAAGAAAATAAGACACTCACTTGGGTCATGTGGAGCAGGGGCTTGCCACTGCTGATAGGTATTTCCCCAACCCTGAGGACAGAACTGTGGACCTCCAGGTGCCCCTCCACTACAGAGAAAGAGATTGTTTCAAACTTTGTCACACCAGTCTCCTATACAGGAAAAATCAAAAGTCATACATTTAAGTGTTGTCTGTGGAGTGTACTTACTGAGGAGCTCCACCAGGAGGACCTGCATTGTAAGGGTTGGGATTATAAGGACCACCCATTGGACCTGGCCCACCTGGGCCCCCTGGACCAGGACCCCCACCAACTGGACACAATGGAGCCTAACAAAGCAGGAAGAAGCCATTCAACTTAAAAAATGTGGAGAAGGGTTTGTGTTGTTTTATCAGGCATTGTATTTCTTCTCTGCATGTTCTTGAACGCAACACACCTCAATCTTCTCTTCTATAAGCTGCTTCGCATGGTCGATCTGTTGTGGCGACCCACGGATGATGAACAGTTTGAAGTTTGGGTCACCATTTGGTGGTGGCTGGCGAGAAATCTCAACAAACGCCCCGGTCTGTTGGTTGATGGCCTTGACGTTCTCTCCTCCTCTGCCGATGACAAGCCCACATTTGTGAGCAGGGATGGAGAAGGTCATCTCTCCTCCTGGAGGACCCCAGTTTCCCTGGCCTCTACCCCGCCCTCGTCCACCAGGTGGCATCCCTCCACCAGAGCCTGGGGGACCCTGTTGAGGAACCATGACTAGGGTTAGGCTTTACTTCAACACAGTAAGCACTGTGTTTGATCATCAATGCAGAAATAAAAACTCAACACAAACTTACAACCCTGCCACTGCACTCTGTACTTACCCCCTGCCCACCCTCCTCTCTGGCACGGATGCTGTTTAGCAGGTCAGTGATGATGGAGGCTGCGTGCTGACACTGGTCTGGTGGACCCATAATATGGGCTATTTTATCCGGACCTGTACCATCATCTGTGAGTGATCACAAAAACAGTCAGATTATTGCATTTTTTCCATTGACATAAAATAAACAATATGTTCACCAAGGTCTCAGTCATACGAGTCTGTATTGATTTACACCACATCGACACTGGAGTAGCTGCAACTTCCATCACTACAGATGTGATACTTTGGATTAGCTCGTCAGTTAGAGAAGTTAATTTAACCAAGAATTAAAAGAGAAGCTTTACTGCTAAAGAAGGGATCAAATTAACTTGTTTTAGAAAATAACTAACTAACTAACTAACACTAGCTTGTTGAAATGTTTTCACACTTTAGCCTTCAAGAGATGCTTCATAAATCTTAAGTATATTTGTCTTATCTGAGGTCAATTTCCCATTCCTGCATGAACACAACTTAACAGGCCAAAGAGAAACATGATGAAGTACGGGGTCATTCAGTTTTCAAGACAATGATTCAATAGCTCACCAGGTTTAAACTGTATCTTCACTCCAGCATCACTCTGGATCTTCTTGATCATCTCGCCACTTCGGCCAATTACAACTCCCACAGAATGGCGGGGCACAGCGATCTGTAAGATGGACAAAAAAGTGACAACTGTTAAAGAGAGTTTGAGCTTTACCTGCAATTTACTATCATGTTTGACATGCATCCTAAATTCTCACATTATCCTTCTACCGTCAAGTCTGTTCTGTGTTTAGTCAGCTGACCTGACCCCAAAAGTCTACTTACATCAATACCACCACCACCACCGCCGCCACCACCACCACCACCACCTCCACCTCCACCGCCGCCGCCTCCACCCATCCTTGAGCCGTATTCATTCCGGTCTCCAAAACCTGCGTGATCCCTTTCTCGTAGAATCTCATTAACCATCTCCTTTGCTTGCTGAAAAACAAACAAGACAATGATTTGATGGGTCCATTGAGGCATAAAACATTTCCCAATTAGCCAAAAACCATCTCCTTGGTGTTACCTGCACTTTGTAGGGGTCTCCAATGATGCGCAGAGGTTTATCAATGTTGGGTGGCTGGGATCCATCTTGAATAAGAATCATTTTAACACCAGCCCGCTCCTAAGGTTGGACACAAGTGGTTTGTTACATTGATTAAATGTGGCATATTACACCAATCCCAACATGGGCATGTTACACTGGTTGCTGATTGTAGTGCACCAATCAGTCAGGTTGTACAAGAACTAAGCACAAAGCTTTGTAATTATCCATCTCTTTCTAAACATGGACACCATAAATCCTGTTAATCAAGCAATTATAGAGATGTATGAAGGTGAGTCTCACCTGTAGCTGTTTGATGGTCTCTCCTCCTTTGCCTATAATAAGCCCAGCCTTGCCTGCAGGGATGATCATCTCCTGCATGGAACCTGTCTGCCCATTGGTTGTCTCATGACCCCTGGACACTATGTCATCTATAAGGGCCTTAGCTCTCCTGGAATCAAGTTGAGATAAAAAGAATGGTGATGAAGTGGTAAGGAGCTCATGACAGACACCATTTCTTAATTGATCACACTATTTTGACCTGCAGTGCAATAAGCTACTGATGCCTTTCTGCAATTGTCTTGAGCTGCAGCAGAATTTTCTAAGATGGAATAACTGGATATGGTGTCTGTGCAGCACTTGCTAAACTTTGTTAATTTCAAGGAAGCCCACCCTTCTCCTTTTATAAGCAGAAAATACACCTTGTTAAAAGCTAAAGGTGTAGCTCTTTACCATCTTCAGTCTATCTCTAACAAAAGGTATTTATCAATAGTAGAATTCAAAAAGAAGCCTAACATTTTGTGTTCATCTTTCTGAGTTGAGACCCTCAGACTGTTAACCACCGGTAACATCAGTGGAAATTACCTAGAGTAAGAACCAGTCAGGACTTAAGTTTTACAAATTTACTAGTTGTATTATAAATAAGAAAATTAAAATACTGTTTGAGGAACATGAACTTACTGTACAGCATCTGGGGATCCGGTCAGAGAAACACTTCTTTCTGAAAGACCAGCACTGTCTGTAATGGATATTAAAAAATGTGTTATTTCAAGAGCAGCTGAAAGTTCTTCATGCTTTACTCGTTTAGCAATTCAGATGTAAGCACCTAGCTCACCATGCGCAATCTGGACCTTGCAGCCAGAATCCTGCTGGATTTTGTTAATCTGTTCACCTCCTCGGCCAATGACTTCACAGACAAAACAAAGGACATTCAAATTTTAGTTCCCAAACATGTCACAAAACAAAACAGGAATTACGTCTGGTTTGGGCAAATGTATGTGCATGTACTCACTGAGGCCGACCATGCCATCAGGCACCCTATACTCCTCCGTCATCGTGGAGGGCCTGGCACTGCAAACAAGAGAGAGAACAATTATTCAAGGATTTTTTTTTCTTGGTCATAACCACAAGACCCAAACACATTCATGTAAAAGAAAAAGAAAAAGTAAAAAAAATAAATAAAAATAACCTTATACCTTTGTTGGGACAGGGCAGCCAGCTGAGCTCCAATAGCTGTAAGAGAAAGACAAACTGGGTGAGTGTTTGGAAACAGAGTAGAGCGAGTGTCCATAATAGGATCAATGTGTGCATTCAACGTACACAATGCAGAATCTATCTCGCTCTGTGATGCTACCTTCTTAGCATCGGGTTCATCTGGAAACAAGAGAAAAGAGTCTTACAACGTGGCTAAATACATGCAAAGAAAGTAAATGAGTGAGCTGATTTCTAACCTGCTTCTTCCAAGGACCGTTTCTGTGCTGCGAAGGGATAACTCTCAGCTCCACCGTTGTTGCTCACTGAGGGAACACCGTCTCCACCGATTTTAGCTGCAATCTGGTTTAAGAAACACAATAGACGTTTTAATATCTAAATTAAGATAAACTCCAAGGGACTCCAGTTTCGGTAAGAATAGTTGAAGATCACAGACGGTGGCAGCAACACAATATTTATTTATACATATTTACAAGGTCGATAAATCTTAATTTTGGTGCCACCCAGAAACAATGCCATTTACTCATGGGGCCCACAGCACAGAAGAAATCTGGGAGTAAACCGAGCATGGATAATTAAGATTTTGACCATTTATGAAAGACCTGAACATTTAACCAGGAAAGTCCTCTGACTTAATTTATTCAGAGAGTAGGAGCCTTCCCATGTTGTATTTCAGTCTCGATTCAGCTTGCCTTTGCAACATAATGAAAGTCAGTAAAATCTGTGTTTCAGCACCATCAACTTTGACCTTTTAGTGTTAATGAACTCACAATAACATCATGAAGAATAACAAGAGAAGCAACCATCATACCAGAGGTGACGATCACCACGTTTAATAAAGTTAGAAAACCGGATGAATCAGTCGAGAGGACTTTTCTCTGCAACAAAGCTGTCTGCTGTGTTGTTTGGTATCATATTAAAAAACATAAATCTATCTTTTCCTTGTTTTAGTGTCCGCGTGTTTTCATGTTTGACTGCTTGTTTCTTTGTTCTCTAAAAAAGGTCTTAACACCTTTAGGTTTGTTATCTTTCCCGGGATGAAATCAACTCTGCACTTCAGGCTCTTGAAACAAAAAGGTAAAGCCTGTAAATGTTGGTGAATAATAAGTTAGCAGTGCAAACCTCTGGTGACCTCACACACCTGGGATTCGGAGTCACACACGCGCTCCTCCACCAAATACCACACCTGAGCTTTCTTTTTTTAAATGTTAGTTATAATTAGACGAATTTACCTGGACACCAAGATGGTCACAACACCGCAGCAATGCCGCACATTGTTTTTTTTTGTTTTTTTTTAAATGGCGAATTTCCTTCTAAAGAAAGATAAATTACACGCTCCGCTTCCCGTTTATTACAGAAACACTAACCTCGCTAACCTCCTGGTAACACGTTGTTTTCCTTAACATTAACATTAAACCAGAGAGTGACCTACAATCCCCCAGGTGCTGAATCCACCACGACAGCAGGTTTAATGTAACACCTGGGCGGTAAAGCGCGTAGAGACAAATGAAAGGCTGTAAGCTAACATGCTCGCTAAGCTAGTTAACCACAGCTAAAGCTAACGTCACGGGCAATTAAGCTAGCTGCAGTTTCCCAACCAGCTAACTAGCTCGCCGGCTTGTTTTGTCTTTCAGTCGAGCTTTCGAGTTACCTGTCTGGCTCGTTGTACAGCATCAGCAAAAGCGTCTTTTTTCATCCCAGCACCGACTCCATTTGTCGGTAGAGCGCCGTAATCAGACATGCTGCTCAAAGGGGGCAAACGGACAAGGGGGCAGGCTGGATCGCTTTAGCCGGATCGAGCTGCGCAGAAGCGGGAAGGCTAAACAAGAGCGTACGTGGGGACACCAATGTGAGGGAGACTGCCCACCACGCCGGCAAACTCCTCTGCTCAAAATAACCAATCAACGAACCTTCAATGCCCGGGTCTTCTTCTTCTTCGTCTTCTTCTTTATACCTTTGTGCGTCGACGTCCAGCGTTATAAAGCAGTGACACCGCCACCTTCCGGTCTGGAGGAGAACAGGCTTCACTACAGACAGACACTGAACAGGACAGGTTTTCATCACATTCATACGGTGGCTGGGAAGTGCAAAGCAAAATTACAAATGTGAGACAAATTTACATTTTTAGAAAGACCTTTTTACAATTTTTAGAAAACAAAATTACAAAACTAAAACACTTATACCAAAAAAAAAACACATTTACATCTTATGAAACAAATTTACAAACGACAGAATCTTGACAAAATGGGAATGTACCATAGACTGTATGTCGGAAGTGACCCCGAGTGAGGGGTCATTTTGTTTTGTTGCGGTAAATTCCCTGTCCGTCAAGATTCTGCCTCTTGTAAATTTGTCTCAGCGATTGTAAAAGTGTTTCACATCTTGTAAATTTGTTTTGTCCTTGGTAAGTGTTTTTGGTTTTGTAATTTTGTTTCATAAAATGTAAAAATGTTGTACAAAATGTAAATTTGTCTCACATTTTGTAAAAGCATTTAACACTTTGTAATTTTGCTTTGCACTTCCCAGCCACCGTACATTAAGAGGTCTTGATAGCCTTACACATAACATATTCATAGTTTAGAAAACATTATATAATATATGGCATAGCAAGCGGCGTGGGACTGTGTATGAATGGGATGAGTTCATTCTGATTGGCACTTAACCACCTCTACCATCAGCATGTGAAATGGGATCAATTTCAATCAATCAATTTTTATTTGTATAGCGTCAACTCATAACAAGTGTTATCTCGAGACACTTTACAAAAAGCAGGTAAAATACCTTACTCTTTGTCTGTTAACATTACAAAAGAGCAGGTAAAAGACCTTACTCATTGTTATGTTACAAAGACCCGGCCTATCCATCATGAGCACTTCAGCAAAGCAGCAAAAGTTAAAGTGGTAAGAAAAAACTGCCTAATTAAAAGGCAGAAATCTTCAGCCGGATGGGTCACTGACATGTAGCATAAAAGAACTCTGAATACTAGAAAAACATTTTGTACAGTGGTTTTACCTTTCATTCATTGTGTTAATAATTACCCCAACAAATACAAACACAACAAAAAACACAATAATAAACCACAAATATAAACACAAAAAAAATAAACAACAAAAAAACAACAAACACACACACACACACACACACACACACACACACACACACACACACAGAAGTCAATTTATACTTTCCTTATGATGTCTGTGTTTATAACCGTTACTCAATGCATTAAAAATAATATCACCATGCATGCATTTATTAACATATTTGAAATAAATACTGACACTTCAGATATGTTCATTGACCTTAAAAACTAATTTATATTTTTTTTATGAGGAAGTTAAACCTGCACACTGTGCAAATACAGTTCATGAAATACTTTTTGGCACTGGACCCTGTAGTGTGTTAAAAACATGTGACAGTCACACACTTCTCTGCATATTAAAACTGATAAAACATGAACATGAGGTCCGGTTGTCATGAATCTACTTCTTCAATGTGTCGTTTTGGCAGTTCCCCCCTTTAAATATGAAGTCCTTTAGTGTTCAGAAGTAATCTAAGAAAAGGTAGACTGACAGTGTGTCTTCCCCTTAACACCATCAACAGTTACAGTCATTATTTTCTTTACTTTTGTACATGTAACATATCCTTAAGACATGATAAGGTCTTGATTCTGTAGTTCCACCAGTTTGCAGAAACGTCTCTGGTTCCCTTCACTCACAGAGCAGGAAATCTGATCAGTCCTCCTATCAATCCTTTAACTTCTTTATATACCACCTGGAAGAAAAATAATCATGCTGTAGGAATGTGACATAGTTTCCAAAGTTTAGATACACCTCTTTCCTGTTTGTTCTCAGGCAAGTCCATGCAAGTCTTCATCTGTCCAAGTCAGTGCAGCAGCAGGAGGCTAGTCGGTTAGCTTTCACACGTCTACTGACATGCATGTCAACGCAACATATCCCACATGAAACTCATCACAGCAGCTGCCAGTTCAGGTTAGGACCTCCAAATATATAAAGCAGAATATATCAGTTATTATTGACCTGTAGTTTCCTCTTCTTCTTTCAGGGTGCATTTCCATCCCATAATCGGCATGCTGAAAACCTTATTGGAATTCATGTAGTCATCTGCAGTCAGGGGCCACCTTCTCATGCCGTGCATTCATTCTTAGAGTTGAAAGCGCCACATCAACAAACCCTTTTCTAGCTCTTCCCTTTCCCTCCCCGCCTACCCTCAATGTCCACTCCCAGGATTATCCTCGTGTATTCATAGACGACGTAGGACACACTGACGGCTGGGATGACTTTTAGCAGGTTGGGGGAAATTCCTCGATAAAGCCCAGCCACGCCCTCCTTGGTCACGATGTTCTGAATCAAGGCCAACATGGAGGGTTTAGGGGCTCCTTTCACTGAAGCTGAGGTGGAGAGGAGAAAAAACAGGTGAGCTTAACCAACTGATTCACTAAAGATGACTCTGCCAAACTGGTGTCCGAAGACATCCTTAATCATTTTTGCCTTTTTAAGCTCGTTGGCTTCAAATCTGGTGAGCTACCTGAGATTTCTGCATTTTTAAAGTCAGAATAGATCCGGAATTACATCACAACTGCTGTGATGTAATTCCAACTACTTTCCAAATATACAACAACATTGAGTAAGACCACGGAAACAGCAACTCTCAGGTTCACTTTCTGCCCTTTACCCACTTTCAACCACTTTCAGTCCATGGAGTTTGAAATAAAAAGAAGTAAAAACATATTGAGATTTGTTCCTAACATTGAACACTTTATATAGGTTCCATGTCATTACAGCCACAGTGTGTCCGTCAGTTCACTCTGTAAAGTTACAAGTTCAATACTCATCCTGACCTTGAGCCTGCATTCGGGTGCGGATCAATGCAAGCGGGTAACTTGCGAGCTGACCACAGGTGCTGGAAACGGCACCACAGCCGACCAGCACCATGACCCCTGGGTCCACTACACCTCTGTTCCTGTTCAGCCAGGAGAACTTCAGAGTCTGTGGAATTAAAGGAGTGTGACGAAGAAGGTCAACACTATGTGAACACTTTGTGAACACCATGTGCTTTCATGTCTCGCTCACCTCATAGACAGCCAGGTCGATGCCGGCGTAAGGGACAATACTCAGCATGTTGGGTAAGTAGCCTTTGTAGAAGGCCGTGACACCTTCTTTCAGGAGGATCTGTTTGGCACAGTCTGCTATTCCTGAATACTGTCCACTTTTTCTGAGTGTGAGACGGGTCTTTAGCACCTGTAGGGACAAGAACGAGAATAAAAGGAAACAGAACAGAAAGAGAAAAGAGATCAGTCATTTCATCGATCTAAAGTGATAACTTTATGTGTATAATACATCGATGGTACCTCCATCGGGTAAATCGCCGTCTGAGCTGTCGCTCCAGCCAAAGAGCCAGCGAAAAATCTCTCGTGAACTCTCAGAGTTCTGCTTTCATTCCTGCCACGTATCACATCCTTGATCTTTGCAGAGTTAAAGTGCAGCAGAAAGAATAAATCAAAAAAGATTATTTGTTAAGTGGGGAAACCCTGCTAGACTTTTCCTTTCCTGAGTCCCCCCCCCCCCTCCAGGACACATGTGAATACCTTAATAAACATGAAGATAGTAAAATGTAAAGGAAAAAGATAAAATGATGATTGTTTACAAAGATGAATGTTTAGTCTAAAGTAAAAAACTAAACAATAAGAGTTGGTGTCAAGTTTACTCCACCTGCTCGTAGGCCGAGAACTTGATAGCGGTCTCTGGGGCTATTTTAAGAACGTTCATTCCGTTGCCTCTCCACAAGGAGCGCAGTCCTCCCTCTTTAACCATGGACTGAAACCCGCTCAGTACATTACCTTTAAGATCAATGGAGCCGTGAACCTAGAGGAGCAGAGTTAGAGTTGGTGTTAAGCGCTCTGACTGGCTGAAGGTGTAATGCAAATCCAAAAATGAATAAGACCAACAGAAAACTCACCAACATTCATCAAAGGAATAAGTTCCACACTGTCACTGACTGACCTGTCGGAAGACTTTGAGACGGTCTAATGGGGCAGTCCCAGTCCGAGACACAGATCCAGCCATGGCACCAGCCATCAGCTGCCGCCACACATAGCCCGACTTCTTCTCCTCTTCGGTAAATTCATCCGGGATTGTCAGCTGCTCGCCGATGTCCAACATCTACTGGATCCATACAAGAAATAACCGTCAGATATAACGATAATTAATGGGAAACAGAAAGAGAGAAAGAGCGAGACGACTAAAGGTTTAAAGATACCTGTTTATATATTTCATTTGTTAGTAAACCACAATGCTGTTGTAGATCAAGGCACTTTGTTGAAGTGTGTGTGTGACCTCACCATTGACCGTTTCCAGTAGCGTGCCACGTCCTCGATGTTAGTGAGATGGTTAAACAGGAAGTAGTCGCGCCACTCATTCCAGTCGATGGTCATAGTGCCGTCTTTGTCCATACTGAGGGACAAACATATTAAACTATGAAGATACCACTGATGAGAATATTCATAATAAAACAGTTAAAAAAATAAAACAAGTGTGTTCAGTGTAGTCTGAAGTGTTATAGGATCTACTGATGTCATTTCATCTTAAGTAAGGGGTGATGAATAGATGAGCGTCGGGGTCTTCTTCATACATATTTTTAATTACAGCATTTCTTTGTTTGAAATAAAATAAATCAAATCAAAAATTCTTCTACCTCCCTCTGTTGAGGTTCCATTCAGCTATAACAACCGGCTAACTACACATCAGGGATGCAGCGATTCACTCAACTCACGATACGATTCTCTCAGGATTTATTTTACAAAATGAGACTGTAGACAAATGATGACTGAAAACGATTCCTTTAGGGGCTGCAGACCGGCTTGTCAGTGTGGTTTGACCTTTTA